TTTTCTAGTAACTCCAATCACATTGAATCCCCCACCAAAATGGCCCTTCTGTATATTGTATTTGAAAGGTTATGTGTAACATTAATCCAGATTCACCATATTTTGGTTTCAACAGCGCTTCTAAAGACAGGCATCCTATCTAGTGATAACACAGTGTGGAGCTGCAGGATCACAGCAGGCCAGGCAGCATCAGAAGAGCAGGAAAGCTGACGTTTTGGGTGGGGACAGGCAGGGCAGCTCTTTCCCATTTCTGAAGAAGGGTCCCGACCCAAAACGTCAGCTTTCCTGCTCCTCTGATGCTGTGTTCCTCCAGCTCCACACTGTGTTATCTCTGACTCTAGCATCTGCGGTTCTTACTATCTCATCCTATTTGGTGTCTTGTCATACCACTACACTGTAATACAGTGGTGGAATGCCTTCCTGTATTTGCAATTTCTCAAGCAGTGAGACTCCTGTCTCACCAAAGCTATAAATCAGATGCATTTAACCGAAATCTGGGGGTTGAAATTGGCCTCTAAATTAGCTTTACACATGCTTTAATAAAACTCCCAAATGTACTATTTTAACCAGATTGTTAACTCAAAATGGCTCCACAAAAATTGCAAAGCCTGCACTTTTTGCACACATAGAGGGATGGCAACTCAAACTCTGAGTCATAATTTTATTCCTCCAAGTGACAGGTTCCATACCAGTAATTATAAATGCCTGAGGGAGAGACAGTTTGGGCTGGTTTTTACACCTTTTTATGGCTAAGAGCAATTATGAAATCGAGCCAGTTTTCTCATCATATCTGGAATTGATCTGTATCTCTTGCACTCATGCCATCTTTAAAAGATCCATGGAGACCCCAGACAAGCACTGTCAGCACAGAACTGCCCTGCCTGATTTCTGACATTTCTCCCAGGCATGGCAGACCAGGTAAATTTGGTGCTCCACCTTACAGCAGGGAGCTGGAGGGCCTGCTGGACAGAGAAATGCACATCCTCTTCCCAGTACCAGCAGAAGAGGCAACAGCCGCATTCTCCTGCCTTCTCCCTGTAACTCTTGATCCCCCTACTCTTCAAAATCCTATCTGTTGTAAAGACACTCAAAGATTTGACCTCCACAGTATTCTGCAGCAGCAAATTTCACAGATTCACCACCATCTGGCTGAAGAAATTCTTCTTCATTTCAGTTGTAAAGAGTTGTCCTTTCAATCTAAGGCTGCACCCTCAGATTCTAGTCTCTCCTACTGGTAGAAACACTCTCATGTCCCCCAAATGAATAAAAAAAGGGAATTGCAAGGCAGGGATGCTGTGTTCATACAGGTGGGCTCAGCGTGAGTGAGCGCTATGACAGCAAGTGGATAGACCAGAGATGCAACGTTGTCCAGGTTATGAATTGGGTTTGTGTCCCTGAATGCAGGGTCTTTGCTGCAGCATTACAATGCACTGTATAGCCCAACAGGCACATTAAAGTGCAGAAGCATACTGTTAATAGACCAGAGATGTGCCATGAGCATTCTTAGAGGCTGGCACATGTTGACGCCAATGTCCATGGACATGGGATTCGTGTGGGTAGTGCCAATGGAGCAAGCTCTGAAATGCTGGTCCAAAATGGAGATTTTTTTTGTCGCAAACAGTGAGCTGGAGTCACTGGCATCTGCTCTATCTTCCATGTCAAGAATTCTCAATGTCCCTCTGTTGGCACACTAATTAAGATAGGAAGCTGAATATTAATAAGACGAGTTGTGCCATTAATAAGGCATTTTATAAGCTGTAATCCCCCTTATTTGACAATTTGCTAGTCTAGCAAGAAGCTTGCCAGAGTGCTTGATACATGCATAACAGTATGCATCACACTGAGATAAGCCTTGCCAGACTTCTTGGCTAATTCTGCCACAAATCTCACCATGGTACAAGTCATTCAGGTCCCTATCAGGCACCTAGAGAAGAGAATTGAAGAAGAAATTGAGGGAAATAATGATCGAACAATAGACAAACAAGTCTAGTGAAGGGATTTACAGTTCAGATCAAACAACTTGGGTAGAATTCTAAATAGTGCATGCTTGTACAGGCATTATCTTACTGTGTGGCAGTTTTTAGTTGTTTTCTCTTATTTGTGCACAATTTACTGCAATTTGTTTTTGTTGTAAAACACACTGAAATTCTTTCTCCATTGTTGTATTTTGTGTAAATTTAGAATAATGCGTGGGCAGGTAATAGACAGCCCTTTAGACTTCTAATTTGGTTCTTTCATTTCTAGAATTCTCTAGCTTTCTTAAGGACTCTACTTTTAGTCAATTTTTGATCAGTTTCACAGTACACAATGTCTATCTTTGTTTCCAATAGAACTGATATGGCTAACATATGGACAGTTTTCCCTTCTAATTATGTAAGCAACAGAATAGCTCATTTTTATATCAAACTTCACTCTTAACACTGAGCAGCCAACCTATTTAAGGTTCAAATGGCAACATTTTAACTGAGATTAACTGGCTGCAAAGTAGTCTTTGTATTATAAATATAGATTTGTTTTATTCATGTAATTTGCCTTTCAATAACTGTTTAACCTGTGATACAACAAAACATAGGACTGTGTCTTTTTAAACAAATATATCCCTTTTTCATTTTTACCCTTTTAATTGAGTTGGTCTTGCCTGCTTCCAGATTAGGCTCAGTGGCAGACTACTGTTGAATATATGAAATGCTGGGAAAACAGAGACTGAATCTTACAAGTTTCCCGCCCCCTCCTTCACCCCACACATCTCACCCCACATTTTAAATGGTATTCCAGGTGGAGCAACAGGATTAGACTAAAAGTAATATATCTGCACTGAGCAAGGTGTTGATAGTGTAGCATTCCCCTATCAATTAAGACATGCACCCTATAAGTCTTTCCGGATGATGCATTGAGCAAACAGACCCTGACACTGACATTCCAAAATGTTGGCCCAGTATCCTACTTGATAGGAGAACAGTAAAATAATTGCACTTTTTAACTGTTGGTGCCATTTATCTGGTGTCAGGATGGGAGGAAAGTGTGGGTGGGTGGGGGGGAGGGATCTCTTCCAGTCATAAGCAAAATAAACTAGTATTTCCAGGTGCCTATGTTATGGTTGGGAGTCATAAACACCAGAAAGGGTCCAGGTTCACATTCTGATCTGTACTGACTCAGCTGACTACATAAAATCTTTGCAACATGGACGGAGGCCACCTTGTCCATTGCTGCGAGTTGTGAAATTCCACCACTATTTCCCCGTAGCCTTGTAAATATCACCCTTTCATATATATAGTTGATTCCCTGTAGAGAGTTACCAGTGAATCTGATCCATCTGTGGCAGTAGCGTACACACTTGATATCCTTGTGTTTCAGAATAAAATCACCAAGACTTTCTGCTCGAGATTGCAATTTAATGACTCCTGCTGGCAAATGCAAAAGTGTGGATGCCAGGTGAGGGCAGGACCTGCCAATTGGTGGTGTCTTTTTGAGGGAATATTGTAAGGAACAGAATAGTGTTCCTTTTAAAGGAACCCATCATTGCAGCATGGTTAAACCGCAGCTCTGGCTTGAATTTTAGGAGACAGCGAACATTCCATTCCTCCAAGTACGAACATTGACAGACCTCTGGCTGAGAAATATGCTGAGGGAGGAGATGTGAACCCATGTCACTGGGTCATCAGATTAAGCAAGAGTGGTATGCTACAACATAAGAGACTCAACGCAGCCGAGGGAAACATAACTAAGGCATTGGAGCAGCAAGCAAAATGACCATGGGAAGCAGAAGTATCAGAAATTCATGCCTCAATCATACACACATGCCTGCACATAAAATTATGACATTTCTGGAAAAGGGAGGTAAAAATCTAATTTTACTGTGCACAGGTCACGAAGCACAGACAGCATTGGCAATGTTTCTACTATTATATAATAGACATATGAACATTTTTTTATAAAGTTACTTGTGATGTGAGCCCCACATCAAAGGAAATCACATTAAACTTATTTTAGGTTTTATATCTTCAATTCCATGGTTTTAAAACCTTTTCATAAAATTTCTATCATGCATGTGTATGGTGCCTGCAATTGATAGAAAGATCTTATGCCTTGCAATCTGATTAGATCATGTTTTCAATAAAGCTACTTATACTGTGCCATATCTCAATTTTTCAGCTATTTCTTTTCCAATGTATTGGGAATGACAAAATATAAATGAATCTGTCAGCATAATAAATATTTTAACCAGACTGCAATACATCTGCTTATTTACATCACAGAGTTCAAAATTTCCAATCGCAAATAAAAACAAACTCCAGTGATTGAGACATTCCAGAATCAAACAGTGACATCTTACCTTGTTCGGGACAAACAATGCTCAAACTGGCTTTGAATAATATTGTTTTAATATTTCTCAGGGGGATAATCATCTTGTGAGCTTCAGTGATTATTGTAAATTATATACCACCGCCCACATTCTTTAGCATTACCACTGACCCTGGATGGAAAGTCTTAACATGCGGTGTAACCTGAAGTTTCATATATCCCATTCTGACAGGAAAGGAGACTACGGAAATGTTTCCCATAGGTGCCAATGACACAGGGGCACAATGTTGACATCTACATTACGCCAAAGAAGTCAGAGCTGGGTTTTTGCCATCAATACCACAGTTAATGTCTGATCAGTGGATGCAAACACCCATTTGCAGGCAAAATGATACCAAATCAAGGACAATTCACAAGAGAGCTGGAAGATTTTTAATCCCACAGAATACGATGTCGAGTAATGAATGATTGATGCCAGAATTAACCATTAGGCGCACAGCTCAGTCTTGACAGAACCTTCTGAACTAATCTGACCTGATCAATTTCTGAAGTACAGTTAACAGCCACATAGCCATCGAACACAATACACAGCGTCGCCACTAGCCAGCTGCTTCCTGGTCTGCAGCAAAGGCTCTCATCTGACCAATTCGACTTTTCCAGCCTACCACGAATAATTAGCATTTTAAAAAGACACCTACCGTGGGACAGACGAAGAGTGTGGACCTGGCTGAAAACTGGGAGCGAGAAACAAGCGGAGAGGAACTGCTCACACACCCGAAAAATTCAGAGCCATAAGCCCCGCAGCAGAACCACCAGCCCAGGGAGGAAGTAGCTTTAAAATAAGCTGTCACTTCAGTAAAAAAAGTTTTTCCCCCTCTCTTCTCTTTTGACTGTTCAGACCATCTGTATCGACAAAGTCCCAGGGGGTTAAGGGGGTTGGGGGGAGCCGCTGGCCGCTACCTTATTTACAGTTCTAGAGTGCAGTTGTGTCCAACTGCAAAGTAACAACGTTTTGCAAAGGGAGATGCAGAAGTTTACTGGAGAGTGAAACAGACAGACAGACTGACGAAGTGTTTGTTTGTCTCTCAGATGATCTATCTGTCTGTGTGTGTGTGTGTTTGTGCGCTAGACGAGACTGCAACTGAACTGTACTGACAGCCTTCAAGCTCTGCTCTCGGTTTCAGATTTCACAGGCAGCACCAATCGAGGTTAGCAGCCGGTGCTATGGGGAAACCGCTTCTGTTAGAATAACTCACTGCTCAAACATTCTCAAAAGATCACCGCGCCGATCCTGCAGCCACTTTCGAGTTTGTTTGTCTGCTGTTAACTGTTTCACGACCTCGGAGCTGCAGTGAGCTCTCCCCAGGCTCAGGGACTGGGGAGTATCCAACTGTCAGAGAATTGGAGTTGTGTGTGAAGGAATGGCTATTGTAACAAGCATATTGTGATGATGAGCGATGTCGTATGTTACTCCGAATACTTCCACAGAAATGCTGCTCTCCGGCAGAGGTTACGGCCTGCCGTCACATCAGGTCTAAAACTTTTGCAAATTAAATGTTGAGAGCAGTTCAGAGTGCTCTTAGTTTTAAAGCCATTCAATTCTACCAGCCGACAGATCTTTTGGGTTCCAACCAGGCAACTTAATCGGAAGAAACTGTTACAAAAACATTTAGTTATAACAGCTGTATGTTCTTAATTGTTTTTAGTTTTGTACGTAATTGCACCTTAAACACAGTCTTGCCTGTACTCCCCTGACTTGATGTATATCTCCAGCATTTTCAAGCTGTTTTCAGGACTTCCAGCATCGATCTGTCGGATTTTGTCCTTTTTCTTAGGATCAAATTTTAGGATTGAATTTTAAAGGGAATCTTGTATGTTCCTTCAACATTAGAGTCTGCTTCTACACCTTAATTCCCTGACCAGGACAATATTTGCCTGGAACTCAGTATCAAAAGTTTTCCACGACTTTGCAAATAAAACATTTTAAAAAAATATTTACAATAATTTTAGTTGTTATAAATGGATTGGATTTGGATCAATCATCCTTTCAAAAAATTGCTGCTTTTTCTACACCCAGGTCCCCTTCGGTTTTTTTGGCTGTGGGTCCAACTCACTAGGTCACCATTTATCATCCATCTCTAAATGCTGGAGAAAGCATTGGCAAGCTGCATTATTGAACCACTGCAATCCATTGGGTGCCAGTGCACCAACTGTGCTGTTAGGGAGGGCGGTTCAGGATTCTGGTTCAATTCAGGACAGGGCATGGTTTGCTGGGCAACTTGCAGTTGGTGATATTCCTATATGTCTGCTCGGAGATGGTGATCATGGATTTGGAAAATGCTGGTGAAGGATCCTTCTGTGGTTATTCACTGTATCTTTCACATAAAACAATTCTGAATGTTATTCAGGAGTCTTTCTGTATTTGGACAGGGACTGCTTCTGTGTTTGAGGAGCCACAGATGCTGCCGAATGTTGTACAATCATCAGCAAACATCTATGCTTCTGATCTTGTCATGTAGAGAAGATCGTTAATGAAGCAAATGAAGATGGTTGCTCCTAAGACATTATCCTGAGGAGTTCCTCTGGTTTGGCCTGAGTCTTACCTTCAAAAACCACAACCACCTTCCTTTGTTCTAGACATGACTCCAAGTGATGGAAATTTTCCCTCTGGTTCCCTATTGACTTAAATTTTGCTTGGACCCCGAGATCCAACAGTCAAATGTTGGCTTATTGCAATGGCAGTTAGTCATATTTTTCTTCTTGAATTCTATGTTTTGATTCAAGGCTGTAAAGAGGTCAGGAGCTGAGTAAAAATAGCAGAATCTAAACTGAGCATCATTAAGCAAGTTATTGGAATGTAAGTGTCACTTGGTAGCTCAGTGATGACCCCCTTCCATCACTTTGCTTATGATTAATGGACAATAATTAGTCAGATTTGACCTGTGTTTGTGTACAATGCATATTTGGATTTTTTTCCACATTGTTGGGTGGATGTCAGTGTTTTAGTTGCACGAGAACATATTGTCAAGGGAAACAGAATTCTTCAATCGGACTAAAAACAAAAAAATGCTGGAAATCACAGTGGGTCAGGCAGCATCAATGGAGACACAGCAAGCTAACATTTTGAGTCTAGATGACTCCTCATCAGAGGTGATATGAAATGTGGAGGGGACAGCACTTATGCAATAGTGGGGATGGTGGAGTGTAGGGGGAGCCTGGGTGATCACTTTGCAGAACACCTCCAGTCCATGCACAGGCATGACCCAAACCGTCCCATAGTCAGTCATTTTGGCAATGTATCTGCTCGCATGCCGACTTGTCTGTCCTCAGCATGCTGTGGTGTAGCAGTGAATCATAGTGCAGACTGGAGGAGCAACATCTCATCTTCAAACTAGGCACTTTACAGCCTTCTGGACTTAATTTTGAGTTCAACACCTTCAGATTGTGAACCAACTCCCATTCCTTCCCTTTCTTTTAGCTTTACTTGTTACATTCTCCATCACCATGTCCTCTCTTCCCTCCCCACACTCCAATGGGACTGTCTGTTCTTTCTAGTCCGGCAGTTAGACACAACATTATTCTGCCATCCTCACATTCTCTTTAATAGAAATGTTGGGATGTTGTCAGGGCCCAAAGCCTTTGCTGCATACAATGCTTTCACCTGTTTCTTGGTATCACATGGAGTAATTTGAATTGACTGAAGACTGGCATCTATGATGCTGTGGAAATGGATCATCCATTCAGCCCCCCTGGTTAACAGTTGCAGAAATGTTGCAGACTTGTCTTTTGCAATCATGTACTGGGCTAACTTCAAAGATGGGCATATTTGTGTAGCTTTCTCCTTTGGACAATTTGTTTAATGGTACACCCCCATTCACTATTAGACATTGCAGGGCCACAGAGCTTAGACCTGATCCTTTGGTTATGGGATACTTTCGCTCTGTTTATTATATGTGGCTTCTACTGTTTTTCAGGTAAGGAGCTCTGAGTTTGAACCTCACCAGGTTGACACCTGATTTTCAGGTATGCCTAGTGCTGTCCCTACATTCTTCATTAATCGGGGAGTGATCTCTTGATGTTAATGGCATAGTCGTGGATGTGCCAGGCCATGAAGTTACAACTTGTATTTCAATACAACTCTGAAGCTGCTGATGGCCCACAGCGCTTCATGGATGCTTAGTTCTGAGCTGCTGGATCTATCCTGAATCTAAACCATTTAACATAGTAGTATCATAAAATATGGAGCTTATCCTCACTGCGCAGTGGTCACTCCTACATACATTCTCATGGACTGGTGCGTACTCATGAGATGAATTGGTGAGGACAATGTCAAGTAGGTTCTTCTCTCTTGCTGGTTCCATCATTGCCTGGTGTAGATGAATGTATGTTTTTGACTTAGTCAGCACAGTCAGCGGTGATACTACTGAACCAGTCTTAGTGATGGACATTGAGGTCCTGCGCCCAAAGTATATCGTGTGTCCTTGCCACATTCTAAGCATCATCACATTGGGTTTCACTATGAGGAGTACCGATTCATCTACTGGTTGGGAGTGGGAGGCACCAGATGGTAATCAGCAGATTCCTTTGAGCATATTTGAGCTGATATGATGAAAATTCATGTAGTCCAGATTCAATTTGTGGACTTCCTCCCAAACGTATTGCTGTCTTATTCGAGACAATTCAAATATTCTGCCACCAACACATTAATCACTGGGCTGAAACTCCCTGTGATCAATACCGTGCCTTCCCTTTGATCTATAACTACTTCTTCTGCATTTTCAGTTTCATCTTTGGTTTTGAAAACTCTATTATACTATTATGGAGAGATATGACATAATGGCATTTTGAACCACACTTGAAATGTCAGTTAACTATTGTCTAGAATTTCTAGAGTTTATTCTTTTATTGCAAGTCACAAATTTGTCAAAAGCATTCCTGTTGTAATTTCCTTTTGTTAAATTTTTTTTGTACTGTCATCTGCATCCTGTTTCCAGATGGTCTCGGCAGTCCATTAACATTGTGTCCTCAATTTTCTGTAAAAAGGCTAATTGCCTTGTTTTGACCACAAGGAATGCTTTCCAATCAATTATTTTAATGTTTCTAGTTGTGTACTTATCTGCATATTTAACTCCTGTCAAAAATGGAAGCATGTCTAAATTTAGTAACATAGAAACTAGGAGCAGGAGTAAACCATTTGGCCTTTTAAGTCTGCTATGCCATTCAATATGATCGCTGCTGATCCTCCATCTCAATGCCATATTCTCACTTGCCCCTCATAACCCACAATGCCTTTAACATCTAAAAATTAACTCTCTCTTTCTTGAATATATTCAGTGACTTGGACTCTGCAGCTTTCGGTGATAGAAAATTCCACAGGTTTATCATCTATTGAGTGAAGAAGCTTTTCCTCATCTCAGTCCTAAATGGTGCACCCCATATCCTGAGCCTATTTTCCCTGGTTCTGGACTCCCTAACCAGAGAAAACAATCTCTCTGCATCTAACCTGTCCAAGTCCTATTTGAATTAGAACAAAAAACAAAGAAAATTACAGTACAGGAACAGGCCCTTCGGCCTTTCAAGCATGCACTGACATGCTGCCCATCACAACTAAAACCCCCTACCCTTCCGGGGACCGTATCCTTCTATTCCCATCCTATTCATGTATTTGTTAAGACGCCCGTTAAAAGTCACTATCGTATCTGTTCCACTACCTCCCCCAACAGCGAATTCCAGGCACCCACCAATCTTTGTGTAAAAGACT